GTGTATCTCAGTGTATACTCTGTGTGTCAGTGTACAGTGTGTGTGAGCCTCAGTGTACAATGTGTGTCTCAGTGTATAGTGAGTGTGTGTACTTCAATGTACAGTGTGTGCCTCACTGTACAATGTGTGTGTCTCAGAATACATTGTGTGTCTTAGTGTAGTGTGTGTGTGTCTCAATGTACAGTGAGTGTGTCTTGGTATGCAGTGTGTGTATATGTCTCAGAGCACAGTCTGCATCTCAGTGTACAGTATGTGTGTGTCTCAGTGTACAGGGTGTGTCACAGTGTGCAGTGTGTGTCTCAGTGTACAGTAAATGTGTGTCGCAGTGCACAGTGTGTGTCTCAGTCTACACTGCATGTGTGTCTCAGTGTATTCTGTGTGTGTATGTCTCAGTGTACAGTGAGTGTATTTCAGTTTAGAGTGTGTGCCTCTGTGTACAATGTGTGTGTGTCTCAGCGTACATTGTGAGTCTGAGTGCAGAGTGTGTCTCAGTGTACAGTGTGTGAATGTCACATATAAAGTGGATATCACAGCGTACAGTGTGTGTCTCTGCGTAGAGTGTATGTATGTCTCAGTGTGCAGTGTCACCATGTACAGTGTGTGTATATATATCAGTGTGCAGTGTGTGTGTCACATTGTACAGTGTGTGTGTGTGTGTCTCAGTGCAGAGTGCTTGTATGTCTCAGTGTACTGTGTGTCTCAGTGTAGAGTGTGTGTGTGTCTCTTAGTGAACAGTATACAGTTTAGAGTGTCTGTGTCTCAGTGTACAATGTATGTATCTCATTGTACAGTGTGTGTATCTCTCAGACTACAGTGTATGTGTGTCTCAATGTAGAGCATGAGTGTGTTTCTAATTGGACAGTGTGTGTGTCTTAGTGTATAGTGTGTCTCAATGTACAGTGTGCATGTGCCTCAGTGTACAGTGTGTGTGCCTCAGTGTATTGTGTGTGTGTGTGTCTCAGTATATAAAGTGTCTCTAAGTGTATAGTGTGTGTGTGTGTGGCTCAGTGTACAGTATGTCTGTCAGTGTACAGTGCGTGTGTCTCTCAGTGTGCAG